AGAGGGTTTCCCAAATTATTCAGGATAGAATCTGGAAGAAGTTGAAGGGTTGGAAGGAGAAATTCTTGTCACAAGCCGGAAGGGAAGTCCTTATAAAATCTATTGCTCAAGCAATCCCCACATATGTTATGCAATGTTTTGCCATCCCGGTTAGCATTCTTGATGAGATTGAAAAACTGTGCCAGAACTTTTTTTGGGGTAAAAAAAATAATGAAAGGAAGATGAATTGGGTGGCATGGGAGAAAATGTATGTTCCAAAAAAATTCGGAGGTCTTGGGTTTCGAAATATGCGAAATTTTAACAAAGCCCTCCTCGCCAAACAAGCTTGGAGAATTCTGACGAATGATGATTCCTTGATGTCAAGAGTCCTCAAAGGTAAATATTTCCCAAAAACATCGTTCATGGAAGCAAAAATTGGTCAAAATGTGAGTTATACCTGGCGTTCGATTTTGGGAGCCAGAGAAGTTCTTGAGAAGGGGCTTAGGAAAACTGTTAGTGATGGTTATGCAACTCGTATTTGGGAGGACACTTGGATTCCTGGAATGCCTGGCTTTAAAGCTATGTCTCAGCGGAGGGAAGATGCAAGTGAGCTACAGTATGTTAGAGAGCTATGGTCTGACAGGAAATGGAATATGCAACTCCTTAATGTTACGTTTTCTCAGTGGGAAGTTAAGGAAATTTGCAAGGTGATGATTCCGTTGTTTGATAGGAGGGACGCTTGGACTTGGCATTTTTCGAAAGATGGAAGGTTTGAAGTTAAAAGTGCCTATAATATGTTGACTTTGGATAGGGCTCGTGAGCAAGCCTCTTGTTCCACGGGTGCCCCTACATTTGATTGGAACCTCATATGGAATGCTAACGTCCCGCCGAAAGTGAGGAACTTTGCTTGGAGAGCTGTCAGGGAAGGTATAACTACTTGTCAGAATTTGGCAAATAGAGGAATGAATGTTGATAAGATTTGTGCAATGTGTGGAGAGGAGAGTGAGAGTATACTTCACATGATTGTATTTTGTAGGGAGGCTAATCTGATCTGGAGGTCATCGCCACTTCGGTTGGAGGTGAATCACTTTGAAGGTAGAAGCTTTAGTGAGTGGTGCAGAAAAGTGTGTGAGAAACATAAGGATCCTCATTGGTGGGATATCTTCTGGTGTACTGCTTGGGGATTGTGGCTTCGAAGAAACGGGTGGGCTTTTGAGAAAACAAGGAAACCTTCTGTGGAGGTTATTTCGAAGGCTGTGAGTTTAGTGGCCGAATTTGGAAAAGCAAATGAAGATAGTAATGTAGGTGTGGAGGGTCCGAAGTTTCTGCTGTTTAGAGTGCTCCCATTGCTGGCTCGATCAAAATTAACTCAGACGCTGCCATGTTTCCCGAAAATCAGGTGGGTTTAGGTGCTGTGATGAGAGATTTCGAAGGTGATGTGGTGGCTGTAACGTGTGAGGTTGTGAAGGGGACGGGCGAGGTTGATGTGGCAGAGGCTTTGGCGATGCGACATGCTCTGAATATAGCTATTGAGGCGGGGTTCAGGAGATTATGTTTAGAAACCGATTGTCTGAAGCTCTTCAATTCCCTTGTGAAAGGTAAAGCTTGCCCGAATAGCTTTGGCTCAATTGTCGAAGATATACTGCAGCTCTCCCTAGTGTGTGACTCTTGCTCTTTCTCCTTCGTCAAACGTGAGGGCAATAAAGTGGCACACAGCCTAGAAAAACTGAGCAACACCTATGAAGGTCTTAGAGTTTGGTTAGAAGATTTGCCTACTGTTTTGTATGAACTGGTTTTGGCCGATTTGAGGCCCTCTGTTTCTTAATTTTATTGCTTGCTTGTTTTTCGTCAAAAAAAAAAATCATTAAATATACAAATGTAAATATTAATACTACATACTGGTACAATTTATTTATTTATTTATTTTTTTATAACCATGAATGCTTTAATCAATAACAACCAATGAACCAACTCATGGTTGAATTAGTTGATAAATTAGTTATTCTACCCAACAAATACACAATCTATGTGACACTTTTAAAAATGGAGGGAGTATTAAACAAATTTTTCTTCCTATGGGATCGACTAGTTACTGTAGTATTTATTGATAACAAATTACCTAGCACAACGGTTTGAAAACAACACCCTCAATATAATGTTGTAGGTCGTTTTGACTTTTGAATTATGGTTTCCTGTTTGTGCCTATTCCAAATCCGTTTTTCGGGGTAGCATAAAACTTTGTTAGGTCATTAACCTAGTCTAATTATTCCACAATAAGGTAAAATGAGATTAAATTTAAACTAATCTAAAATAACATAAGAGAACATGACCTAAAAAGCAAGGGATCTAAAGCATGAAATGGTATAACTTGGTCTTTTCATAATCCAGTAGTATTGAAACTGTGATCACATGGCAGTGCAATTTTAAAAGATTTAGTTACTGCCATTACGATTTGCTTGGTGTCCTACTTTAAGTAGAATAATCATGCTCATTGCAAAAGACAATTACAATTCTCATGCTCTGTCTTATATGCTTTTTCTTCCTTTATATTTTTCAGTGATGTGATTATGATTAACTTTATACTTCATAACTAATATCCTATTCTAGCTATTTTGACCTTTGACCAATTTTTTTTATACTCATTTCATGATCACAATGTCGTAAATTTACTTGATTAAGAGGCTTTGATCCACTAAACTTATTTTGACCGATCCTTTTTTTTTTTGGGTTAATTTTGTGTTTTTTTTTCCATACTTATTTTTGTTAGGTTAATGAATGCTCAATCAATAAGTTTTGTGTGTGGTTGGCCACACCGTGTGACTAATTAATACACAAGTAACCTTCAACTAATCGAGTAACCCTTGACCAACCTAGTAAACCCCTGACTGTCCGAGTAACCCCTTTTCTTTTTCTTCAATAGATCTCATTCGAAACTACTCTTATGACGCCGAAAAACCCCAACACCATACCAACCCAAAAACCCACCAAACAAACCCAGAAGTCCAACAATCAATGTAAGTTTTAATACTTTATTGCGGAATTCCTCGAGAATTTTGCCGAAAATTGCACGGAAAAACTCCAAAAATTAATTTTGGGGTTTACAAATTACTTGCTTTTTGTGTAATTTCTTGCACAAATTTGTTTATATGTTGTAACAATCATACTCATGAAAGGTAGGAGAGAGAAATCACCCTCATGCAAGATAGGAGAGAGAATATAGTGAGGAGTGAGAAGTGGCCTGAGAAAAAAAAAATTGTAGTTGGCCACACGGTGTGGCCAACTACATATGAAAGTTTGTCCTGGTCAATTAGGAGACCGTCTCAGTATCTCAACACGAGAAACAAATTTTGATTTGTTCTCAAGAGGTCAAATTTGTAAAATTACAGGCAAAATCGCTATTTCAAGTAGCGTATTTGTCGATAAAATGTTATAAATAATACATTTTTACTATTGTCATTTGAGAAACATAGAAATATAATTTGTTTCTCATGTTAAACTTGGAATTTCTTGTTAATTAGACTCATTTATATTGAGATATAAACTACATTCTCCATTTCTCAGTTGATGCATTCTTGAGAGTTGTTGCACACACGTTAACTTTTAACCATAGCATGTAAAGTAAAAGGTGGAGTTGATCCGATCCTTACTTAAGTCAAGGGCAACATAATGTTTTCACATACTCCATATAGAATTTTTCTAATTTAGCCTAATTTTTAATTAATTTTAATGTTAGTCAAACGAACATATTATGTCTTGCACAATTTTTATATGTGACCTATATTACCGTGCGACCGGAGTCACTTGAGTTTCTTGGTCAAGGGTTACTTGAGTTTTTGAGGTTGTTTGAGTTTCTCGGTCAGGGGTTAATTGAGATTTTCGGGGTTACTTGAGTTTCTCGGTCAGGGGTTACTCAATCAAGGGTTACTCAAGTTTCCGGGGTTACTTGAGTTTCTCGATCAGGGGTTACTTGTGTTTTTCGATTAGAGGTTATTCGAGTTGCCGGAGTTACTCGAGTCACAATTTTTTGTATGCGGCCTGATCGAGAAACTCAAGTAATCCTTGACTAAGTTACCCTTAACCGAGTGAACCCTTCGAGTAACCCCTGATCAAAGAGTCGAATTGGCATATTTTAGGGCAAAAATGGATAAAACCGCTAACATGATTAGTATAACAAGACTTCAAGTCAAGACCAACAAGTCTTAAGTTAAGAGTCTTACCATCTTAGTCATTTATTAAATGTGTTTTTTTATCCAACAAAATTATAGTTAACTTGCATAAGTTAATTTGTGTGTTTTATTATACTATGTGTTTCCATTATGTAATGATTGAGTTTGACAAATAAAAAATGTTTAAAGGAAGACTTAAACTTGAAACCAACAAGTCTTACTATTTAAACAGTCGAATTTGATTAACAAATTAAACAAGTAAAAACTAGCAACTCGGGGTATCGCCCGTGCCACACACTAGTTTATTCATTTATTTACAAGCTTGCCATTTGATAAACAAGTAGTCAAGTAATGCATGTTTATCATGTTAAGTAACTTGGATTTCTCCGATTGCTATTAATTGATTCAAAATATTTTTTTTCGGTGATTTACTTGTAACATACAATATGTTATCATGTTGAGAAAATGGAGCAAGCAGATAAAAAACAAAGGGAGTACACACTTACTAGTTACTACAATGATACTCCATATGAAAAGATATTGATGCTTATGACTCAAATTTTTCAACATATGTAGGTAAAACAACAAATTTTAATGGAAATACTCTAATAAAGCATCTCCCAAAGTTTGTTGCATAACTTCTCCATTGAAAAAAGCTATAGCAGCCATTTCATCACTCATGATGGTTGTTACTTTGTTAGTACTTTCAAACATTACTAGATTTAAGACACCAATTACCAATACAATCAATATGAAATTCTCAATCCATACCTCCTTGGTATGGGTTCCCGATCCGTTTCAATCAACTGATTTGAACCAAAAGCCCCCTCAATGTCACTTGACCAATGCTACATGATTAATGCCAATTATATTGAAAAAGCCAGTAAATATTTGTCTCCAACATTCATAATTGCCTTATCTTTTACGAAGTAGTTCGAAAAGGTACATGTATCGCATCATATCAAATGCCTACAGATCCATTACAGTGCAGTTAAAGATCAACAAGCTAATGTAGCCTATAGAAGATCTTCATGTCAAAATGGAAGAACTCACTTGGAGGGGAGGGAGGATCTTCGGGATCACTCTGAATATTTCAACGTCAAAGACAGTTGCATCATCCTTTGGGTTAGCAAGCTTGAAGAGTAGGACGTCAAATTCTTCCAAGGAATTCTCGAAGGCAAATTTTTTCCACCCACCAGAGAGTCCTCCCACACATCTTTTCCCATTATAATAAAACTTGGCGTGCCATATATTATTCTCCACTCGGAGAATGATGTCTTGGTTTTGGAGAGCAAGGTGCTTGTTCATCCAGTCTGCAGGAATGCTCTGGCAAAGAGAACAGCACAAAAGAAATTTTCACGGCTATGATGTTAATATTCATTACTCCCTTTGTTACTAAATAGCGGTTGTTTTCATGATTGAACTATGGTTGTAGGTTTATAACAAGATATTTATGAATGTAAGTTTATATATGAAATACAGCAACATAATTTTATCAGTACTCTCAAAGTTGAAGCTAGATACACTGCAGCAAAGCTTATATGGAGTTGTAATGGAAGGATTTATATGAACAGAATTGATAGATTTGGTAAGGAATCAATACCAAGTAAAACCTCCTGTAAACACTACTAGGTCGCATCACTACAGTGAAACTTTTTTCAGTTTGTTCTTGGTTAGCCCTTAGCAAAGCATCTGCTTTCTCCATCTCAGTCACCGCCCTTCTATTGGACACATACTCGGGGCATTCCTTTTCAGATGAAACTACTTCAGGGCAAAAAAAAGCAGGTTAAGCCTACAACTATGTATCAACATCAGAAATTTCTTTTTTCTAGTGTCTAATAATCAAGACATAAATTTTTCACCAAAAATCGAGATCAACATTTACATGTATATGTTTTACCTGTTACCATAATTTTTATTGAAGTAACATTGAGGTGACATAAGTTCATTAGATAAGAGATTTACCACTTCTGGACACCTGTTTCATTGACGACATAGGAACTGCCTGTTTCTTTGGTCTGCCTCTTTTCCTTCTATGACTGTGAGAATCATCTGCCGTCGGGGAACATTCTTCAAAATTTAGAACTATTGGCTTGCTACCCAAAAATTGACTTATTTTTTCCGACGTACCATTTTCACTTGGCTCCTTTCCTGCCAAATTTCGGCATAGTCAATAGTGATGTAGTAACTTTCTAATATTTATATTGTATAATAATACGTCATGATGCTTACCAGATATTGTTTTAGATTTGTGGTGATTATTCATCTCTAAGGAACCTTCTCTATACTCAGGGGTGCTCCAGTCTCTCCCTGAATTTGTACCTGGTTCTTGGGCAGCGTCATTTCCGCTAGGATTCTTGTCTGCTAAAAATATACAAAAAAAAAAGGATAAATTCATAACTTTTTATCTATGATGCACAGACACAAGTAAGTTTAATATACCCCTAGTTAAAAATTATGGGCCCAAAGGTCATAAGCAATTAAGCATAGTTCTGATAATAGAATACTTCTAATAAAAAATAGGAGATTTTGCAAAAAACCACCTTTTAAATCTTGTTTTTTGCATTTAACTACCTTTTAAAAAAAATGTTGCAAAAAACCACCAATTTAAAAAATTTTGTTGCAACTTACCACCAATTCAATGTAAAACAAGTGATAAATTTGGCTTAAAAAGTGGTAATTTGCAACAAAATTTTTAAAATTGATGGTCTTTTGCAACATTTTTTTTAAAAGGTGGTTATTTGCAAAAAACGAGATTTAAAAGGTGGTTTTTTGCAAAATTTCCTAAAAAATATTAATGCGACATAATATAGATTTAATTGTACCTACTTCTGGTTAAAATTCTTATCTCAAGTCCAATTTTGAATACAAAAAACATGTATAAGGATTCCACACTCACATTGGTTGTTGGAGTGCTGAGGGTCCAACACAGGTATTCAATAAGAGCCAAGTAGCATAACTTCACATTATTACACAAAATAGATGCTCATTTCAGGGCAATATGATGTAACTATAATGCGTACCAAATTGGTCCTTCAACTTTTTAGAATGATCTTTCCTGGGGGAACTTTCTCCGTTTTCAGGGGTGTTCAGGTGTTGTAGTGAAACCTGACTCACTTCATGGGTAGCTTCATTTATGCCGGGCTTTTCCTCTGCAAAACGATGTACACAAGGATATTCAACACACTCCTTATTTCATGTTAAGTAGAAACTTCTTTCAAGAAACTCAAAATATAAGGTGCTTACTAGGTTGGGCCTTTGATTTACTCAAAGAATTGCATGGTTCTTTTATCTTTCTTGGCCTGCCTCTGCCATTTTTCTTTATAGCCATATTGAACGTCTGATTCCTAGGATTTTGAGTGTTCTCCTCTCGTCCCAAACAGTTTACCTCCCCATCAACATTATTCTTAGACTTCTTAGATACAACATATGCAGAATCATCATCTATATCGTCATCAATTACATTGGTGTTTGAACCTTCTCTCACAATTCTCTTCTTATGATTTTCATTTACTGGCTTGGTGTGGCTGCATTTCTTCATAAAATAGGATGCTTCCTCTTCACACAAACTCTCTTGGTCAAAAATTAAGACCTCAAAACTTGAGTTACGCTTATATTTAAACATCAAGAGACAATTTTCTCTTAGCTTGTAAGTTTTCACAAAGTCCTTCCACTCATTCCCGACAAGCAGCACATTATCAGTTGTCTGAATATCCACTTGCCATACATTACCACTGGGGCCTTTGAGAGACAATTTTTCTGGTAAATGGGTTTTCATATGCATAGCAAATTTCTCAGGCAATACCTGTTTGTTCATGATCAAGTTCAAATTACACAGGAAATTGTATCAACAAGGCCATCTTCTATACAAATAAAAAGTATAATAATCGCTGTTCATTAAAGATGGCCAAGTTTGGAATTATGAATCATAAGCAGGTACCACAAACTTTCATAAAACATAACAAACAGGCCGAAAGGTGTACTCAATACATAGTAAATTCTTCAAGCATACACTGAAATTTTAACCCGAGCACGGCCACTCAATTGGTGTAACCGTATACAATCAACAAATTCCCATCATGCTATAAACTAAATAACTCACTCCATGTACACAGATTCTATTAAACAAAATTCAAGCTGTACGTAGTTAGGCTTTGTTTCACCTTTTAGCATTCTTTGTATGGCCTTCCCAAATCACCTTAATACCTATGCAAACTTCACTAAGGGCATTTATACGATAGGTCACCGTTTGAATCACCCCAGCCCGGCCCCTTCCCTATTCATCTATATTGTAATTTGTAATGCTCTAGTGATTCATTCGGAAAATAAAAATACTTATCCACCTATCACTCCTACTCACAATTGAGTCCATAGCATATACAAGCTCATTTACTTTATTACCCTAACATCAATCACTAACACATTACATTCAGTATACCAATTTAAGACAGTCTTTCCCACTGAAATCAAATCAAATGCAAAAATGCATGTTTTCAAGAGCAAATCACTATAATTCACAAACACCTCAAAAGTCAAAACCTAGCATGTTGCATAAATAAAGGCATATCAACAAACATTTTTGCACATTAAATGGCTAAAACTTTCGGCACAATTTAAGATATGGGATTCTGGATTTTATAATACTTGTATTAATTAAAGGTAGTTAACATGAAATTGACAGCAAAATTAAGAAAAATAAAAAATAATAACAAAAATAAATAAAAATTAAAAAATTGAAGAAAACTAACAAGATGATCATGGAAGTTTTGGGGTAGAATTTGATAAAAATGCATGGAATTGAAATGTTTCCAATACATCTCTTCTTCCCATGTCCTGCAATTCTCACAATCTGATTTCTCCTCCATTGTTGCTCAAATTAATCACCTATAAAAAAATCAAAAATCAAACATAAAAATAATTAAACACCCAAAAACTAAAAAAAAAATTTAAAACAAAAAAACAATCTGGAGAAAAAGAAAAGATTTTACTCACAATTGACAACCCAGAAGCTAGATTGAAGAAAAACACACTTTTTCAGAAACTTTGAAGTGTTTATACCTCGAGATTAGTGATTTGTGACAAAGATTATTATAGGCTATGAAATTTACCAATGGGATATTTAATAGCTAATGTGTTTTTGCATGATACAGTAGAAATGCAATTTATTTTAAAGATAAAATCTTTGGAATTTGACATATTCTTTACCTTCCCTAGATAATAGAACTATATTAATTGACAAATTGTAACAGCTTATTGGCTTCATATGGTGGTCCGTAATTCCGTATCATGCACGAGAAAAATACATGTATATGTATCATGTATGTATACACATTCAAGACTCTCGATAATTTTAGTCAAGGTCACGGCACTTAGGCTTGGCACGAGACATAACCCAGTTCGGCTCACAACCATTCTTAATCGATATAAAACTTGTGATTTATGCAAATTACGAATCTATTAAAACATACCAAGTAAAAAATGAAGTATTCTTATGAACCACTGTGTGTGTATAAATCTAGTAAATTTACCAACACATATACGAAGTGTAATTTTAATAAAAATTTCTACAATACATTTTCAACCTCGTGCCAAAATCAAAATGAAAAGCTCATGGATACGTGCTGCATAGAAGGAGCAATTAGATTTTAAAGTATTAAATCAAAAGGAAAGTTTGATTAACAGTATATGCTTTCATGTTACACCAAATTACCAATGAATAACAAGAGTCAACAATGAGTTTCCATTGTCCTTCATAGTGTAGCATTTTACAATCTTAAAAACTCTCAACCAAAGAAACTAGAATATGCAAGACAAGAATTACAAAAGCATTAGCTTAGCTGCTAGCGCGAGATGACTACTGCAGATCACTAGCAACGTTTCAACAATCAGTAACATTGTTCCAGAAACATATCCAGTAAACAAAGTTTAAAACAGAAGTAAAAAAAAAATACTTCAGACGAAATTGCCACATCTAAGGAAGCTGATGTAATTTTAATACCATATCATACATACACCAGGACACCAGGTATTTTTCAAAGGTTAAGTCTGTTAAGAGTTATATTTACAATAAGTCTGATGGCTGTTAGTATATCAAAACACAGCCAAAGATCAGGCAAACACAGTCTAATTTCTTAGTCAGACGACTAAAAGCCTTCTAATAGTCTAAGACATTACAGGAAGAGGAGGAGTGGTTTTCTCGATGACTCTGAATATGTTAACATCCATCACAGCACTTGCCTTGTCTTTCTGATTAACCAGTTTAAAGACTAACACATCAGACTCCTCCAAGGAATTGTCAAGGGCAAATTTCTTCCATCCAGTAGAGATACTTGCATCTTTCTTGCTGTAAGTAGTTAGAGAAGTATGCCATACTTTCTTGCCCACACGAAGAATTACTTCTTGGTTTCGGCAGGGGAGATGCTGTTGCATCCACTTTGCAGGAATGTCCTGCAAAAAACAAGAACAGTCAAAAGACATTTACGAAATATACTGGAAAGTGGAAGCACCAAAACAAGAAAAAGTGTTTCCGAATATAATTACCAAGAAAAATTTTCTGTAAACACTAGTAGGCTGCATTACTGCAATGAAGCTATCTTCAGTTTGTTTCAGATTAGCCCTTAGCAAAGCATCCTCTTTCTCCACTTCAGTAACTAGCCTTCTGTTTGACATGTACTCCTTCACCACAGATTTCCTTTCTTCCGGAACTATTTTGAGCAAAAATTTAAAAATAAGTAAAATCCTGAAATTACTGATATTTACTGAAAATCACAACCCAGTTCCAGAATATTAAGTATAATCCTGTAACGGATCCACCCCTTTTTTTTGGTTTAAGGGAAAAATAATACTTTGTATTAATTAACTGCTAAAGTCGTACTTGAAGTATCAAAAGATACAGTCATTAGGATAGAATATTAGAGCTATTACAGTCAAGCACAAACTTGTTTGAAATAGCAGCTAGGACTAGGAGACTAGATATTTTACAAAAATTATTGATAAATGGGTTAGTTCCTAAGGAGAAAGCAATATAAGACATTGGAAGTTCTTCTAGCTAGCTTAGCAGACGATCCACTACATCCACCATGGGATGGCTGACACACAGTATTCTTTGAGTGCTTCCAATTCTAGCCTCGTATGCTTTGGCCTGAAAAGAATATACACATTGAACTATTGATCAGCAATCTTTAAGTTCCTTGTTACTCCTAGGACAGTAGTCCTAGAATCTGATAAGAATGTGAAGTCCTTCCCACCATTGCGATGCAGGCAGCTATAAGCTCACCCAGACTAGGGAAATATGAGGATTGCTATAAGCTCAGCCTCATGACAAGGACTTTGATCCATTGGAAATGTCGAAGGAGGGTAAAGATGTAGGAAGAAGCATCAGTAAAGATGAGATAAGTCGTAGGATTGAGGAAAGGAGGGTGGGGGGAGTGATGGTTAGAGCAGAGAAGTCCAAGGTTTTATTTACTCTTTTTACAGCTAAATAAAGATAAAAAGTTGAAAACCCATATAAACTCTTTCCACACTTAACAATCAAATGAACCCCATTTAATATCATTTTGTTCACAAAATATATTATGATCACCACTTCACCAGTATCATATATCAAGACCGACTCTGAATCAGTAACAAGACACAGTGTTTTCACCCTATTGTAATAAATGAAAAGACAAAAAAAAAGCAACCCATCAACCAGGCAACCAAACTACAAGAATAGAGGATTACCGCTTTTGAATACCAGCTTTTTAGATGAATTAGGATGCTCTTGCTTTTTCAGTCTGCGCCTTTTTCCACTAGACTTGCGAGAACGATCTTCTTCTGAGGAAGTTTCCTTATAATTAGATCTAATCACCTCCCGCCCAGAAATCTGACTCCGTTCCTTAATAATTCCTCTTCTTCTACTTGTTTCTTTTTCTGCCAGATCATGCATACAGCCAATAGTAAGCTAATAAATTTCTGAATATTTTTATAAAACATCTTGGTGTTTCAAGAAGAAAGTAGCTTACCTGCTTCACCCTTGAATCCGTTAGAACAACCTGTAACTGGGAAATTTTTGCCATTTTCTGGGGTGATCATCTCCTTCTCTAGTATCTGAGTTGGTTCCTTAGGAGTTCCATTACTACTAGGCCTCTTTTCTGCCACAATATGTAGACAAAGACATCACCTTTATAATATATTCATGAATCAACTCCTCAAAGACAATCTGCAAAACTAAACTGACCAGATTGGGGCTTCAGTTTAGGAGCACGGTCCACGACCAACTCCCTTTCTTCATTTTCAGTGGTTATGTTCATCTCAGAATTCAGTATCGGTTCATTTTCAACATGATTTCCACTTGGCTACTCTTCTGCTATAGTATGCACAAGCACAACTGTCAGAAATTCTTAAAATTCCAGAATTCACACAAATCACTTTTGCCATTTCATAAGTAAGTTACCAGGTTGGCCCTTCAATTTCTTAGAACGTTCTGCAGTTGGAGAATTTTCACCATTTTCCGGGGCGATCAACTCCCTCCTTGAAATCTGATCATTTTTGTTCAAGCTCTTTTCTGCCAAATTAAGTACACAATAATGACAATATCAACATATGTATGCAATTTTCTTAAAAATTCAGCGTCTCATTTCACAAAAACATTTAAATAACAATGCTTACTAGAATGGGACTCTAGCTTCTCAGAATCAACTTTCTCAGGGGAAATTTCTCCATTTTCAGCTGTGATCACATCTCTCTGTGATGTTTCACTCAGTTCCTTGTCTGTTTCATTTCTGAAAGACTTTTTTCCTACCAAATCATAAAGAAGTATATTAACAAGCTCTTGCACTTAAAGTAGGTTTTCATTTTAAGATTACAAGTATAAAGACAGAGTTTTTTAGAAAGTTAGGATCCTTACCAGATTGAGCTTTTCGTTTGATTGGCAATCGGCATGGCAGTATCCTTCTTGTTCCTTCTCTAGCTTTTGCAGCTGCATTCAGCACACGTTTTCTCGGAGCTTGAGTGTCCACCTTTGCTCCGGAGGAAACCACTGGTTCATCATCTTTCTTGGACTTCTTTGATACAACAAAAGCAGAATCTTCTTCACCACCATCCTCAATAGTTTCAGTGTTGGATGCCTCTCTTGCAGTCCTTTTTTTTCCTTCATGCTCAGACTTAGTATGCTTACATTTCTCACAAGAACTCCCTTGATCAAAGATTAACACCTCAAAACTCGAGTTTCTCTTAAATTTGAACATCAAGACACATTTTTCATTCAATTCATTGACTTTCACAAAGTCTTTCCATCCATTTCCAACAAACAGAAGATCATCGGATTTAAGCAGCTCTATGTCCCACACACCCCCACTCGGGCTTTTAAGAAATACTTTATCTGGCAACTGAGATTTCATGTGTGCAGTGAATTTCTCAGGCAGTACCTGATTGTTCAAACTCAAATTAAGATTGATACATAGTAAAATGGAAACACTTAAAGAGGCTCGAGAATTCAAGATTTTGCAAAGGTACAAGTAGATGTACCACACACACACACCATACAATAACAATGAAAGTATGAAACTAGGCTATAAGGCATGACAAAGTACTATACATATGTTTTTCAGTTAAGCACATATAAGATATAGCCCTCGAAAAACATAGCACAAGGCACAAGCACACCATCATACCCACATCACACTATCACAATAACAGTTTTAAATAGGCTAAGAGTATTACAAACTACTTATTTTTCAATTATGTACTAATATTAACTACATATATTCCTCAAGAAAACATAACACAACCATCATACCTATCTCATAAAAAGTCTATCCAAGTTATTTTACAACCACGAGAATCGATCTGATCATCAAATCTCAAAACTTTCTCATGAAAGTAAGCTGCACCAAGCAATGTCATACATGCCCATCATTGCATTTGAAATAACCCATTAGTTCTACCCATATTTATCTTTATCTCTATTATGATTAGTACTACAACGTAAGTAGTTCCAAGGTAGTACCACATTACAAACTAACTACAAAAATAATGTGCCTTAATTCGTAAAATCAAAAGTGAAATAGTCTACTATTACAAAACACAAGAACAACAACAAATTGTTTATACCAGAGAAATAGTTCGATTTTTGTAAAGAGATCTTACTTTTTTAAAATACCACAATAATCATTTAACATGATTAAAATTGCATGATCCTACATTTAATAATTCTCTAACCTCAAGAAAGTGGGATAAATCACCCCACTTTGTATTAAAGTCACAATAACAAACATTATTTCAGATTCTAGAAACAAGAAAAATATATATATCTGTCCCGGTAACACTAGATTGAATTACACTATCTAACGTGACTACTAATTTTTGACGGAGTTGGTGCATTTTCACTGTTCAGAGTATAGTGGAGCAAAATAACGCTATCAATGTGACTATTAATTTTCTACTAAGTACTAACATAAACACTTTCATAAACCTAAACCCACTTGGTCAAATTTTTCTAAAATTAAGAAAACTTACAAGATGATCATGGAAGTTTGGGGTTAAAGTCTGGAAGAAATGCATGGAGTTGAAATGTTTCCAGTACATTTCTTCTTCCCATGTTTTGCAATGTTTACACTCCAAATGTTCCACCATTTTTCTTCCCAAAGATCAAAACTTTTGTACTACAGAAAATCTGCTTCAATTCCCTAACACAAATCAAACAAGAAATTAGATCATTTTCCACCATTTTAACCTCAAAGATCAAAACTTTATGAAGTACAGAAAATCTGCTTCAATTCCTAAACATAAATCAAACCAAAAAATTAATAAATGAAAAAAATCTCCACCAATTTTCCCCAAAGATTAAAACTTTTTTGTACGTACAAAAAACCTGCTTCAAAGTCTTAATCATAATTCAAACAAGAGTTTAGAAAATGTTCCTTTTTTTTTTCCAAAGATCAAAACTTTTTATAGTACAGAGAATCTGCTGCAAATCCCTAACATAATTCAGAGAAGAGATTACAAAACTAACTAAGATAAAACAGGTAAATTAACCCCAATGTAATGTAAAGAAGAAATACCCACTTACAAAAAAGTGAAGAAATGAGAGTGAAATTGAGGAAAATGTGTGAATTTTTGGGAGAAATTGAGCAATTTGGCAATTACCAATTACTACCATGAATAAATGAGAAGTGTACAGACTACAGAGGTCTCTGTTTAAGAGAGGTAGAGTTCCTTACCGAGGTAGCCAATAGGATGCTCCTCTTAATGCAGTGTACTTTTGTTGCTAAAAATTGAGTAATGTGACTGCTATCTGTATTAATGTACAAGTAATTATCGGAGTTTTTTTTTTTTTTTTTTTTTTTTTTTTTTTTTTTTTTTTTAGGAAAAACATTACTGTAATAATTGTAGTGTACATTTTGCATGAAATGATTTGACCAGTTTGGTCTAAGAGCAAGTTTAGCCTAAGTCTTAAGACTTGGATGTGACATCATTTTTTGTGGTCCCCATTGAAAATGATGTTATCAAATTCTTATTAAGACTCACTTAGACTTACACAAATTTATCACTTTAGCCCTAAGACTTGAATATTTGACATATTATATGTAGAAAAGTAAAAATAAAAAAAGGGATAATAAAAATAAAAGTGAGGTGGGTGAAGTGGGTCCCTCAATCTCAAGTCTTAAGTCGAGTCTTGAAATTTCAAGACTTGCTTGAGATTTTTGAAGAAAAATGGGAAAAGTCTTAAGTGTAAATCTTAAGACTCAAAATGATGTGTCACCCCAAGTCTTAAGACTTGAGGCTAAACTTGCTCTAAGACCTCCCCATGAGGCCATGACATGATTGACATCTAGTTCTAGTCCGCAATAAATACAGATTATATTGTGCATTAATAAACTTTTATACTCTTCTAATTATTTTCCCGTCAACTTATGTTTTACAATTATAAAGGACAAATCGTCCATTGTAAAGGCTACACATACAATTGTTGTATGTGCCTGTTAAAAAAAAAAAAATTGTTGTATGTGGTCCTATGAACAGTGTGTTTGAAAAAGACACACCTAAATGCGTGTTGGACACACACACACAAAAAAAAAAAAAAAAAGTGTTAATCTATGGACACTTATCACTTTGACGTAATTGTATTGAGCAAGTCATGTCTTGTTTGGACTTTTTTTTTTGACAAAGGATACAAACAGACTACTTACTAATACTAAAACAAATAAAATTAACCGCCGCTTCCCCCGCGATTTGATGAGCTCGATGAACACGCTGACGATCCGCTTTATGTACACAACAATACTGAAATTTTAAGCCAAGTTGTTGAATCTTGCGAATGAGCCAAAGGTAAGCCACATCACCGCGCCCATCCCCCTGAAGAAGAGTTACCAGATTAAAGGAATCAGTAAAGACCGTGACAGAATGTAACTTTTGATCAAAAGCCCATTGAAGCCCGTACAAGCAAGCCAACGCCTCCGCATGTAAAGGAGAAGAACCAACCCCGAAGTTACTTCCTCCAATAATGCGGTCATCCAACGGGTCATCGTTATCCAAACACCAACCCATCCCAGCTTGTTGAGAGTCTTGGAACCAAGCTCCATCGATTTGAAGAGAAACTAAGGAACTCTCGACAATAGTCCGACCAAGCAAAGCTTTATAAAACCCAAGTGGAATAGAAGCTCCAGCCTCCCCTCCGCCAACGGAAGAGGAAGAAACAACAACAACCGAGGAAACAAACACAGAATGAGTATCTATGACCTCCGCTAACTGAGAGTCAAAGGGCCTTGAAGCAGAACCTTCCCTAAAGACCCTGGAATTTCGACATAACCACAAACTCCAAATAGTACCAACAAAGGTACCTAAGCGAGCACTCGAAGGCCCATCCTGACTAATAAAAAGTCAGACATAATCTTAGATCCAATCTAAGAGAGAAAGGGCTCCATTAAATTCTGAGCGAATGCCAAGGCATCCACCCCTCCAAACTGCGGGTGCATTAAAACACATTCGAAAGAGATGTTGTAGATCCTCCGGATCAGACAGACAGAGGTCACAAGTGACATCCTGAATCGGGACCCTTCTGCGGTGGAGTTCCACCTAAACTGCTAAAGCCTGGTGCAACAGTTTCCATAGGAACAACTTCCACTTAGGCTGTAAATGGAGAGACCAAAGAACTTTCCAAAAGGAATCAACTGAAGACAGAGAGGACTCAAGAGAAAGTTGATGTTGAATCATTGCATCGCCAGTTTTCACTAAGTACCTTCCGGACGGTGTGCGCACCCAATAACGAAAAATCTTCCTACGACGTATCAGGGGTCTCCGAAGCAAGTATTGTTGAAGCATCCTGAGGCACAAACCAGTCATGAACAGTAGCAGCATCCCACCCCTTTGAAGCAGGGTGGATGAAAAAACTAACGGAAAGCGCTGCAACAGTAATTGCTGAAATTCCGGGTTTGAACTCAGGAATCCGGCCATTGACCCAATTAGCCGATCCAGCAGGAGTAGAGCGGCCATTACCAATTTTCCAGTTGCAGCCTTGCTTTAAGAGGGTGTCTGCCTTAAGTAATCCCCTAAGTCCGTACGATTGGCGTCCAGAGAAGGTAGACCCAGTATGCGGGTTGTTAGAAAGAAAGGTCGTACGAGCCCCGAAAGCTTTGGAAACAAGAAGCTGTGGGTTGGAAAAGAGTCTCCAAACCTATTTCATAAGCAACTCTTTGTTTAAGGATGACAAGCAGCGAATACCCAGGCCACGCGGAAGATGCATGGTGTCCTTTTTTACCCAATGCATACCTTTAGTATCAGAATGCACCCAGAAGAAGCGCATAATTAAGGAATCAATTTTCCAAGTAACAGAGACCGGTAACTCATAGCAAGCGAGAACATGGGATGCCATAGTGACTAGAATAGAGTTAATGAAAATCAACTTCTGGGCTTGTGACAGGCGAACAACATTCAAACTATTTATTCTTCCACTAATCTTATCGATGATAAACTGGAAGTGGTCCTTCTTCTTACCAACGAAATCGATTGGAGCCCCCAGGTGATGATCGAACACCTGCACATGCTTCATTTGGAATATCAATTTAAACTCTGCCTGAGAGGCGGGCCAAACATTCGGGCTAAACTTTATCAAGGACTTCGACAAGTTAAGCTCCTCTCCCGAAATCTTAGTAAACCGATGAATGATTTGCATGATATTAGAACAGGAAGTAGACGTTGCAGGAAAGAAGATAAGAGCGTCACCCGCAAAGAATAAATGCGAAATTGAAGGGCTGGTTCTAAACAGCTTGATTCCTTGAAAAAGCTTAAGATCCTGACCTAAATGCAACATTCGAGAGAAGATATCCATGCAAAATAAGAAAAGATACGGAGAGATAGGATCACCCTGACGTAGGCCACATTGCGGTTTAAAGGTGTCCGATGTAGTGCCGTTGATCAAAGATTTGTAAGTAACTGTAGCCAGGAATTGTTGAATCATCTGCAACTAGCGATCCGGGAACCCATAGGCTTTAAGGACTTGCAGAAGAAAACTCTAGTGAACTCTGTCATAAGCTTTGCTCATATCAATTTTGATTGAAGCTAGATAATTCGTGCCAGTTTTGGAACAGTTAATTTTCTCCATTGACTCATGACTCAGTAAAATATTATCCGTCATAACGCGGCCTTGAACAAAGGCGTGCTGGGAGTCAGATTAAAAAGGAGAGATACTGGCGCAATCTGGCCACCAAGCACTTAGACGCGCACTTGTACACTGTGTTACACATGCTAATTGGACGTAAATGGGCCATCTCCGTTGGGTTACCAATCTTAGGAATCATCACAAGGAGTGATTGATTCCACTCTTTTAAGAGAAACCCTGTTTGAAAGAAACTCTGAATGCCCAAGACCACTGAATCTCCCACCACGTCCCAATGTGTTTTAAAAAATTCTACTGTAATTCCGTCAGGGCCCGGAGACTTACAGTTCCCTAAAGAGAACATGGAAATTCGAATCTCAGAAGCCGTGAAGGGACGCTCCAAATTAGCGATTTGAGATGAATTAAACCGAGGAAGGTCTAACTCTCGCAGAACAGTATCAATTTCCGAATCATAAGGAGGCACGGAATCAGTTTTGAAAGTCTTCTTAAGAGACTACACAACAACCCGCTGAACATCCGTCTTCCCATGTTGGAGTACCCCCCGGTCATCAAGTAACGAAGATATCTCATTTTTCTTCCGACGGCCCTTGACCTTAGAGAACAGAAGTTTCGACGGACTGTCCCCTTTCAGAATCCAGTTTTTCTTACACTGTTGCCTCCAAAATTGCAACTGTAATAAGATACAGTCCTTCGAAGTGACAATATTGGACATGTAGAGAGACGCATCAGCAACTGATTGGACTAACTCTCCCTCATTAGATATATCCAACAAAAAATTTTTCCAATCGACTCCCCAGAATTTCTTGTTATTGAGACACCAAGTCCTAACAAGTGACTTTACAACTTCTAGATTCTTAGAGAGAATGAACATTGGTGAGCCGAAAATGTTCCTTTGCCAGGTAACATGAACAAGGTCATGTATCTCCTGAAAGTTTAGACACCAATTATCCAATTGATAAGGACGGTTTTACTGTCTTTGCAACGGTGAGTCGTCAAAGATAATAGCAGCGTGATCAGAAATGAGAATCGGTTGATTGAGCAAGCGGCTATCTGGATAGTTATGAAACCAAACAGAGGTCATATAGGCTCAATCAAGGCGCTGTAAAATAAGTTGACCTGCCTCCCTATTATTCGTCCAAGTATAGGGGGGCCCTTAAAGGGCGTAGCAAGTAAGATAGACTTTAGTCTAAAATCAATAAAGGAATCCCAACCCTTAATGACATTTGACCCTCCTAACCTATCGAAATGGTGCTCAATTTGAGTAATATCCCCAATAATCAAGCAGTTAGGAGCAATAGCGAGTAAATCTAAAATCAAACCCCACACCTAGGGCCGATCTTCTAGAACAGGAGCACCATAAACAAACATCACACATTTACTATTTCCATTAGTAAGCTTTACATTACAAAGAACAACATTTGTACAACAAAACACACAAGACACATGCTCCGAACCATAACCCAAAACAACTAAACCCCCGCTAGTCCCCACCCGAATCAACCCCAAAGGCCGAAGTAGGACTAGTAAAACTGAACAAATTATTCACAACAGAAAAAGACACCTTTGTTTTACTTAAAAACAAAAATTTGGACTTTTCTTTATTCTTGTGAGTTTGATCATTACCATACATGGTTTAATAACTAGTTTTACGGAGTACAAAATAATAAAATGATAAAATTACTAAACCCTTATCTTAGGTACAAATGTTAGTATCAATATTTGAACTCCACAAATTTTTGTATTTCTATTTGTTTTTTAAATTCTTAGCTTCTTCTCCAAGCTAAAGTACACATCACCATTAACATATCTCTACTTCATCCATTTTCTCTCTACTATTTTCTTAGCTTCTTCTCCAAAACCACACATCACCAACAACCATATCTCTACTCCACCCATTTTCTCTCTCCTATTTGCCAAATTGCTGTAATTAAAGCCCAAAATTGTAGAAATTGGGTGTCAAATTGCTGTGAAAAATTTGCTTTTAATTAATCTTAAGATCATCAACAACATTTGAGTGAAATCAATGAGAATCGAAGAAATGTGAGCTCGCTTTCTTCGTGGAATCTTAGATCGAACATTCTTCATAAAAAATTTAGCAACAAAATCAACAATAGTAACATGAGTAGATTGTAGAATACTTGTAGGGTGCGGCTGATTTGGTCAGAGGTTACTTGTAGGGTGTTACTGGTTTTGGTCAGAGGTTACTTGTAGGGTTTTACTGGTTTGGTATGGGGCCTACAAGTAACCCTTGAATAAGTAACTCATACAAGTAACCCCTGAAATAACTCATATAAGTAACTCCTGAATAAGTAACTCATACAAGTAACCCCTGAATAAGTACCTCATACAAGTAACCCTTGAATTAACCCATACCAGTTTTTCGCCAAGTGTCGAGTCATGTAGGCGACAAATAAGTATTATTGTGACACATAAAATGCTAAGTGAACGAATTTTGGATAGATTTTCCTAAGATTAAAATGTTATATAGTGTTTTATTATCGATATACTTCTAATATTTCATAAAAACATAATTTAATTACTTTTAGTGAAATTCTACCTTGTAGCCTCCGAGATTTGAAAATTCTATATGGTGGCATGACAAACTTTTTATTCTACAAAGTGACTCCCTAGTTTAGATTAATATACTCTACCCACTACATAAATTCTATATAGAGGTGTAGAACGAACAAAGATAAGAGAGAATTCTATTTGAATTTAAACTGGAAAATTGTTTTCTTTTTATATCTTATTAATAAAAAGAAGTTTTATTTTTAATTAATTACAATAGTTTATCAATGATAATAATAATAAATGTTTTTGTGTATATTACTTTACTGAGATACCAGAATATTATCATACATGATCAATGCCTCCGT